ATGTAATAGTATTTATAACGTAGGTCACACAGAAAAAAAGATAATAAATAAGGCAACATATATATGTGATATCGAGGGATATTACAGGACGGTGAAAACTGATATAAATGCAATGATTTACTGATCGAACATAATTAACTACTGATATTTTAGTTTAAATACTGATAAGCTCATTATTTTGCTTATAAAATGATTAAACTACTGATCAAAACCCAAAAGTCACTGACCATTAATTATTCTGCTGACCGATTCAGTTTTTTTACTGACAAAACAGCCTTAATTACTGATCGCCTTTTGCTGATCATTTTGAATAAAAAACTGACCATTTAATTTGTACCCATTTTTTTTTCATTTAATTATCTTTTTGTAAATTTTTATTAGAAATTGTAACTATACTTTTATTTTTATAACTATGATTTATCTTGTTTTAATAAATATCGATAACAAAAATATCTATATGTCTATATCGTTTCAAATCAAATGAATACAAAAATATCTGTTATCTGACGAAGACAATTTTACAAAAAAATAGTCAAAAGTTTTTTTTCATTTGTCTAGTGAATATATATGATCATAACTGTGTAAAACTTGATTTTATTTTCATTTCATATAATTTATTTACAATCATAAAAGATTTCAAATTATAGTTTTTATTTTTGAAACTATGTATAAATAGTCCTGTCTAATGAGTTATATATTTATTAACCATCGACTCTCGTTGTTTTTAAAGAAAATAAAACAGACAAACACTTATTTTGTTAATCATCATAGTTAACACAATTGCGTTTGAATAAAATATGATGATCAATGAGTATAGATAATGTTTTCTTACAATTAACATTTCTCATTTATAGAATATTTTGATTTATGTAACTGAAATATTCTTTTTACTAAAGTACCATATTTATATATTGAAAAAAATATAATAATATCTATTATAACGGTAAATATGGAAAATCATCCGAATTACCTACTTCATCGAATAGTAAAAAAAATTCGTAAGAGAAACCGTGACATCTCATTTATGTTTTTTTTAGTACTAAGATAATAGTTGTCTTATATATGCAGAGAATAAAAACACCGAGTTGAAGTATGACAATAGAAGAGAACGAAAAGTATATAAACCTGAATAAAACAATAAGTTTATATATGATTCATACTGTTTTAAACAGCTTTCGTGTTTACTTGTAGCAACCTGTATTTTGATTGTTACAAGCTGTTATTACCGCACTTTCTTTGACGCTGATTTTACTCGAGAAAAGCGATATTAGAAGAAAGTTTACCTTTCCTGATTTTTATGAAAATTTCTGATTTAAAAAAAAAATTTCCTCTCCTGCTTCCTGATATTGAAACACATGCCGCTGCGACCCCTGTCAACATTTATCACAGAAGTCATACGTATGAAAGACATCGTTTACCAGTTCTACAATGAACATTGTCTTTTCATATTGGTCAAGTAACTGAATTTATCAGATGGGTTATCAAAAATATAAACAACTTCAAATAATTAAAACTTGTGCCGATTGAGTGATGATTGATGTTGCGTTAATATTGATGAAATTTTTTTTGTAACGTATATATAGTTAAAATATACATACGAAAGAAGAATCTCGCACATGCGTCTTAATATTAAAATACAAAAAATCATAAAACCATATAATTTTACTATCCTTTCTCATTCGTTGATATAGTGTGTTTATGTGAAAATTTTATAAGTATAAAGTGCCTCAATAAAATATTTATGATGAAATATAAATTACAGCATTTATTGATAATATTATCATTTCTATTCATTATTACAACGAAGTATTACGAAGTAAAATAAAACATTTGGTATATTGGTATCAGGTATTGTAATTTGAGTCTTCTTCTAATCCTTTTATTCTATATCTAAAAAACGAATAACTATAAAGGAAGATTAGATTTTCTTTGTTTAAGCGAAATATTTATTGAAACTTAATTTACTGATATCACTAACTGCTTTAAAGAAATAAAATCGAAAAAAGATATCATTGTCTTCATGAGCAGTGAATAATATCATCTTAGGGTGTGGAAGTGAATGTGTGAGTGTGAGTGTGTCATATCTATGGTCCTCACACCCACACCCAATCAATCAATTTATCTCATTGGAAAATAATACAAATACGATATTGGATGGAATGGATGTCGAATTAGAGTAGAGAATCACATTGGATGAAATTGTTCTTGATTCCGAGAGTGTAGATATGAAATCAACACTATCTCCAATACCCACACACATACCCTCATACTAAGCAAAGGCCTTCTCTTGAATAAACATAAGGAATCATTTTTATAGTTGATCTATTTTTCAAATCTTTTTAGATGTGGAAGCGACTAATATTGATTTTATTGACTTGGAATCTATGTGTTGTAGGAAGTTATCGACACGATGAATTTGTTCGAGTACTAAATCACAAACAGGCAATGCAATACAAGAGCAAAAAAACACCACTATCGGAATACTCGACGCAAATGAACAACATACCCGTTCTTGGACTCCCAAAATGCCGCAGGTGTTTAAACATAGCAGTCATTGGTGCCGGTGTGTCAGGTTTGACAGCTGCTGTTGAACTAGCACGTTCTGGTCATCGAGTGACCATCTACGAGGGAAGTTCTCGAGTTGGTGGGCGGATTTTCACTTTTCGACAACAAGGTACAAACTACGTCACGGAATTAGGTGCAATGCGTTTACCACTGGATGCACATCCACTATTGAAAGACTACATTGAAAAACGGTACTATCTTCCATATAAAGAATTTATAAATTCAGATGACGATGCTATGGTATATATAAACAACGTCCATTTAACTGTTCGAGAAGCCAATAGAAATCCAGCTGCATTAGGTTTTAATGTGACCGAAGATGAACGTGGAAAAGTAAGGAGCACTAAAAAAGGAATACATTCTAAAGATTGCTATTCTGACTCATGTTCCTTGTGTCTGAGTACACACGAGTACTTATTTTCATCACTCTTTTTTTTAGACTGCTGACGAATTGTGGAATAGAGCGACTAATCCACTATTGGAGATTATACATACTTCAGGTTATGATACTTTTATTCGAGATTACGGCTCATATACTATTGATCAATATCTTACTTCAGTGAATATGTCTCGCGGTGCTATCGATTACGTTGCCTTAATGTTCAATATTGAGACAAATTTATACACGTCATTAACGGAAGCCATAGCTGATATGCAAATTATTTCAGATAATACGAAATTTTATTATATTGAAGGTGGTAACGATCGATTAACTGAAGAATTGAAGAATGAATGTATAAATATTACTGTGCAGCGTTGCTAAATTTTGTACGATCAGAAAATTGTTACCGTTGATCTGAATGACAGATCACCGTATGACATAGGTATGGAATATGTGACTAGCAAATCAGTATCACCAATGTCTACTGATCGCTATGAATCAGTGATCGTCGCAACAACAGCTCCAGCAGCCAGACTTATTGAATTTAAAAGTCCTGACTTTTTCAAAAATAAATATCGTGCACTGCGCCAAGCTCACTATGATTGTGCTAGTAAAGTGTCTCTCTTCTTCACGACGGCATGGTGGTTCGACTATGGAATCAAAGCTGGACGCACCACAACAGATCTACCAATAAGATTTACTTATTTTCAAAATTTTAGCGGATCCTCCTCTAGAGGGGGAGCGATAATCAGTTCGTACACATGGTCACAAGATTCTCTTGTGTGGCAATCACTATCGGACGACTTAGCAATAAAAACGGCACTATCCAACCTTAACGCAATATATACTATTCCGCAGGAGCCGTCATTCAATGACAATGGTGTTGTAAAACACTGGTGTGCTGATCCTTGGTCACACGGTGCATTCGTGTTATTTACACCTTATCAAGAGCAACACCTAAAAAGTGCTCTTCGAGAACCGATAGGTTCTGTTTATTTCATTGGTGAACATACGAGCAGTGCACATGCGTGGATTGAAGGTAGTATATTATCAGCGCTTGAAGCTGCTTTGAAAATTCAGGAAGAGTATTTCGATGTTGCTATTATTGGTGGAGGACCTATTGGACTAGCAACAGCCATTAATTTAGCAAAGAAAAACAAAGCATGGAAAATAGTCGTGATAGAACAAAGTCAATTAGGCAATTCAGAAGGAAGTTCTGGTTCATCAGATACAAGACAATTTTGGCAAGTGTACGATAAATAATACTTAGCTAAACTTGCTATGATGTCAACAGACTATTGGAGACAACTTGAGATTGATGCAAATTTGAAAACCGGATCAATACTCAATACCACGGATGGATACCTTTTCTTTGGTGAGTTGGGAGCGGGGGAAACAACAGAAGCTGATTTTAATGCATTCGAGAGCGTTTGTAGAAATTTAAGCATGGGCTGCGAGTTTCTTAACTCATCGGATCTGAATCGCAGATATCCATTTTTTTCAAAAAACTCAACCTACAAGGGAATTTTCCATCCGAACTCAGGCTATATCAATGTAACTGTATTAATGCAAGCACTACAAAATTTAACTATTGGATACAATATCACGATTCGCACCCAGGAAGCTTTTCTTGAACTTGATCCATCTGTATCAGAGACAGAAAATCATGTTCGCATATTCACTAATCGTGGCTCTTTGAATGCTTCCAAGGTAGTGTTTGCTGCAGGACCCTTTTCTCGAAGTATTTCGGAAAATCTCGGTTTTTTTTTGAATATGATACTATGGGAATTGCCAACAATGTATTTTGCACTGAAACCTGGTAACGTAACTATTCCGACATGGTCTACATTCGGAGGTGATAAACAATCGTTGTACTATGGATTCCCGTCACCTTCTAGTGATCGACCGGGATACGTCAAAATTTCACCTGATTTCATTCAAGATTTTTCAAACCCTCTGTTATATCCAGGTGACAGAAAGAATGTCACTGACCCTTGGCTTATCAAACGAACGACTGACTGGGTAACAAATAATATACCGTCTGTTGATTCTTCTTCATATGAACTTAAAAATTTTTCTTGTTTGGCTAGTTTCCTACCTGACGATGGCTTCATCATCAGTTATCTACCAAAAGAAATACGTTATCATGACAAATTGCTCATGTATGCTGGAGGATGGGGAATGAAGTTCGTTCCATTATGGGCTGATATTCTGGGTGATCTAGTTCTCAATCCTAACTCGACTAAATATGCGTCTTATCTGCCAGACTTATCATTCGATATCGCTAATCGATGGAGTCCTATCAATATTCTTACACCTCCGGTAAACGAAACCATTTCCATAATGGCCAACAAGCAATATGTTCTTATGTTTATCATTCTTCATGCTTTCGTAAAAAACTTTCATTAACCTTAGTAGTAGTGGCCTATTTTAAGCGCTATACTAGCAACATATATTTTTCTAAACCATTTTTTTTCTGTTTTCGATCAGTTTCTCGATGTAATATGTTATTTCTTTATTCGATTTAATATAAAAATGAATATGATTTGCTTTATTTAGAACATGTCATGCAAAAAATACGTTTAATAGGATGCTCATTACAAACAAATGCAGAACAACTACACCATTGAGTTAAAGCTTTTTTTATCAATAGGGTATCCATAAAGCGAACAGCGTTTTCGTTTCGATTGAGCAGAATTTTGATCTGCTTCTAATAGAACTGTTCTTGTCATGGGGTAACCGACAATAGCTAATGCATCTTGAAGATGTGTATGTTGGTGTGAATGAGTGCGCGTGAATGTGATTGCGGTGCTTTAACTACACACCCATGTCCTCAAAATCGGTCATTAATCGCTGGCTTTTGTCGATTATTTTCATGATTCTTGTGATAAATCGTGATTATCTAGTCGATTTTTCTGATAATTTCTTATTATCTAGGCGCATTGACCTTCATTACTCCATTGTTTTAAGCTATTTGATGCATTTTAATTTAATTTTATTATCTTATCCGGAATCTTTGATCTTTAATTGTTATTATTGAAGATTTTATTCAAAAAAATGATTATATTATTTAATAGAAAAAGTACATATTAAACTAAAAAGAATTAGTGCGGCAATTCTATAATTATATGAGAAGACACTCAAAAAAGGTGAAAATAAAATTAAAAAAAAAGGTTCTCGCAGGCTCTTCGATTTTTGAAGCTTTGTTTATCTGAAAATCGATGCATCTTCATTTTGCATAAAATTAATAATCCAAAAGCCCAAAAAATTACTTGTTTTTTTCTAAATAAAAAGTAGAACTCCAAATCCTGATTAGAATAAGAATTTCCAAAATACTCTAGAAGTTTTAAATTTTGCATTAATTGAAAATTGATTGAATTCTTTAAAACAAAACCTACGACGAAAAACAGCATTAAATGAGATATTTAATCTAAAAATTTGTCTAAAAAACAAACGATCTTTCATCTAAAAGAAGGAGCATTTGAAATCAAATCAAATGAATATAAATAAGACTAAGATTTTTGTAGTTCAATCGTTTTTTTAACTGCCCAATCTCGTTTATGCGATAACAGCAACATTGTAAAAAAATTAATTTTTCTTTTTCCTATAAATCCCTAGAATTATGTTAAAGAAATCCACTGAAATTGTTTCTGACTCTTAACTATCCAGAACTTTCATTATTTTTCGAATTAGTAAGCAATTTGAAAATCAATTAGAAAAATCAGTGATTAAACACGATTTATTGCGTTGATTTATCGGCGATTTTTAAGAAATTGTTTCTTCGAACATAATCGCCTCAAAATAGCGGCGATCTTCTCGATATGTGATATATATAAATGTGATTTCGGAAATAAACAAAACATGTTATATAATCACAAAAATCAACTTTATACCTACATTGTTTAATACAAAATGTATATCAAAATAAATTTCTTTTTCTCACTTCTTAAAAAACATCGATCATCACTAATCTAGCACGACCAGCGTTTTGTATCAAATCACAATTAGTTTTTAAACAAAATACTCAAATCTTGTGACTGGAAGCTAAAGAGTTCTGCTTTGAATGTAAATGATCAACATTGAAAAGTGCTCTACAATATATGATTTAGACAATACTCGAATCTTCATTTTCGAAATTTTGCATGATAATTATCTGATTGTTGATAAAAGCTAGAACTAATAATCGAAAGATAAATTCTTCCATTAACACTTTGTTGCTATAAATATAATTAACTGATATTTTTTATGCATAAAATTACAAAATCAATGACTGAACTATATGTATTACACTTATGCATAGATTTGTTTTTATCTACTCTGTTGTTTTCATTTTAATAAAAGCAATCAGAGTAAGAGAGACAGTTTTGCATGAACCATCAGTAATGGACAATATGCATTATTAAATCGATCATTGTCTATTTTTTGTCAAGGTCCGATAAACACACCATATCCTGTATTTTACAATTGTACGAGTCTTGTTTTGCTTCAAGACTACATTGTACTAGTGCTATCGAATATTGCGCACCGATGTCATAATGACACCTAGTAACGAGCATCAAAGATATGAATCTTATTATTAACTAGATTGGTATAGGTAAATATATTTTTCTTTCATCGGAATAAAAAAAAGAATACGGCATTCTCTTACCTGAATTAATGAAAAGAGCATTTTATGGCGATGACTGTATGAAAAAATATAGTTTTACTCCCCTATCTCTTTATATCGCTTTCAAAATAAATAACAAATCAAGGGCGAAATCTTTCGTACATAAATCCCATCGAAAATCATGTATTTACCATTCATCTTTATTTATTCTTTCCAACTCTCATCTACATTAAGGTAAAATATCCTATATAATCATACAAATGTGTATGTCCCAGGCAAAATTAAGTTTTAGGCAAAATTAAACAGGCAAAACTTGCTTTTCTTTCCGCGCGAAAATTTGAATTTCGTTTTTTTTGGTCGAAAAAAAAATATCGAAAAACATTTTTCTATTATAATAAAATAGATTATTTGTATAGTATCGTCCAACAAAAAAACATATTAAGAACAACTAATAAAAAATTAGGCGATTCATTGTATCATATATTTTTTCCATTTTTTCTGTGCTCGTCATTTAGAATTAAAAGAAAAAATATCGGGCAAGATTCTTTTGTTAGAGTAAAACAAATAATTTGTATAGTAGTTTCCAAAAAAAACATTAAAAACGTTGAATAAGAAATTGAGTGAACTCATTGTATCATATATATTTGATTTTTTCTGAAAATTTTTGTGTTTTTGTGTGCTCGTCATTTATTATATACTAATTTATTCAACGTTTAGTATTATAAAAATATAAAATAATTGGTCGTCTCATCTCATAGTATATTATTACATAGTTTTCCTAAAATTATTATTCCCATAAATTTTCTATATTAAAAATTTTTGCTAAGATCTACTAAATTAAATGTTTATGTCGCTTGTGTAAATGAACTGTATTCTATTTATCAAGGTTCGTTACTATGAAATACATAATGATTAAACATAAGCTATGACGACATTTTTAATTAGATAAATCGATGTATTTTGTTTTTATAATTCAAATATTACTATTCAATGGAAATATTTAATGAGAAAATAATACACAATCGCACGTCTCCGTTGCCTTATGTTTATTTAACTACTGACTTTCATTTTTTCTTGAATGTGATCGTAAATTTTAAAATCTGTTTATCATATTTCTTTCTTTGATTTTATCATCACACGTAATAAACATTATCTAACTGAAAATATTCATGTCTTTTCCTATATAACCGATTCGACAAAATACTTGTGAAATCACAATCACAGAAGAAAAAAATCTTCGTAAAACTGTCTTATATTTACAATATTATTTTTCATCAATTACGATCAATGTTTTAATTTTATTGTCATAAAAATAATATAATATAATAAATACTCAACAATTCATTTCTAGCTAATAATCAATGTCCCCATGTCCCCATTATTTAAAAAAATAATATATTTAAAAACAAAAATCAAACAAATCATTTCTCAACCAATAATCAATATCCCCATGTCCCCATCATCTAAAAAAAATCAATATTTTTAAAAATAAAAATCAAACAAGTTTAATTTTCTAGCAAATAATTGATGTCCCCATGTCCCCATTATTTAAAAAAATCAGTAAAATTAAAAATAAAAATTAAACAAATTTCATTTTTCAACCAATAATCAATGTCCCCATGTCCCCATTATTTAAAAAAATAATATATTTAAAAACAAAAATCAAATAAATTTCATTTTTTATTCAATGATCAATGTCCCCATGTCCCCATTATCAAAAAAATAGTTAATATATTTAACAACGAAAAACTAACAAAATCAATTCTACGTAATCGGAAATACTCTATTATTATAAAAATTCTTCTTAAAATCTACATACAATTTATTATTAATGGAAATATGATAATTTTATAAAACTAAAACTAAAGTTCTTCTAATTCTATTTATAAATAGCTTATAGCTATAAAATACCACAAAAACTTCGAAAAAAAAATTATTTTATTAATTTTAAACGTATTCCAAACTCAACTAAATTCCAAACGTATCTGCGACAAATATAACTTGCGAACTCTACATCTTTCTAAAATTAAATTCATTTTTTATTGAATTCAACTTAAGAACTTTACAATTTTGAAAAACTTAAAATAATAACAACTGAATTTTATTTCGAAAATTTTTAAAATCATATGATCATAGAATCATTTTAAAATCAAGTTTAATTTTGCCTAAACCTTAATTCTGCCTGACACATATATATCCAGCACTTATATATCAAACCAAATCTGTCATTATAAAACAAAACTCAAAAAAATCGTATATTCTCTTTTTTGATGATAGTTTCTTGCTCGTTGTTTATACATACTGCATCAACAACCATTTTATTATAAGGATGAAAAAAAAAATATCCCAACATCATATGAAGGTTTTTCTTCTTAGTCACACTTGAATAACAAAGAACGCAAGAAAAGAGAAATGGTCGATGTATTTACGTATTATCGATAAATATTATTACAATCGCGAAAAAAAATATTTTTCGATAACCTTGAGAATCTCTCAATATAGTTATTGATCAGAAATCTTCTATTTTAAATCAAAAGAAAATTTTTATTTTCGAATTTTATCATACATAAATAAACATTTTAATTATCAAGGCATAGATAAAAAAAGAAATTTTCCGATATTTCGTCGACGACATTATCTAATTGTTTTTGTGCTCAATAAACTCATCAAACAACAAAAGAAAAAGACATTGAAAATATATCTTGTGAAGAAAATTGAAATTCAATTGAGTTGGACATATGTTTATTCATAAAACAAATAAGTCATAGGAGAAAATCGCCAGTTATACCACTCACATGGTCCTAATGAATGGGAGACTCTCTGATGGATGAATAGTATTGAAACTATAGTCCCAGTGAGTTCTGATCCTGTACTTCATCTTTTACAACAATCATTAAGATATACCTCTAGCAGTTAACATCTTCATCAACTCTCATTTATGTAATTACTTATTTTTCTCATCTATTTGTTTTGTTGAAACACTACTGCAATTATAACCTGATGAATTTTACAATTTCACTACATGTTACTTTTATCCACGGTAAATACATATGAAGATGTTTTGATTATCAAAAAAAAAATAATATTTGAAAATATGTATCTAGTCAACAAAATAACTTGTTTTTTTTATTAATCATTCTCAATATCCAATCACACTAATGACACTTTCAAATATCATCAAACGAATTTCCAACTAAAACATACAAGCAAGGTAAAAACACCGATTATCAAAATGAATCAGCAGTCACTTCAATTGTAGTTTATATTATTGACATCAATAATATTTACAAAAAAAAGGCGCAAATCGATGATTGTAGAGAAATAAAATAAAAGAATAAATAAGAGAGAAAAAAACCACTGAGTGAGTGGAGAAGAGTCTATAGCTTGTTTGTCTTTATGGTTGAGTGAGATTAGAAATATCTCGAATATCACTATGAAAAGTGCGTATATAAACAGCAGTGAAACTGCCGAATAAACATTCATATCCATATATTAATCTCATCACTAATAAGTAAGTGTTGTCTGTGTAAGTTGTTCTTATTTTTTGTATGAATATACCTTTACTATTCTCTTTTCTATTATCAAATTTAGAATAAACGACTAGAAAACATGAAGCTTCTTGAAATAGTTTTAATCTTGGCTGTGATTATTCCAGCAATCGTTAATGCAGGACGTTTATCGGATTTGTTTATGGATGGTGAAAATGAAGAACTTTTATTAGCACTTCGTAAAGCATATCAATTAAAGTATGTCTTGTCAATAGAAAATCTTCTTGAGATATTCACAAGATATTTTATTTTAGTTCTCAATGTAATTCATATTTGTATAACTATGATCCAAATGGAATTCAAACTTATAATGATACAAGTTATCAATGTAAATCAGATACATTAAAGCAAGGTTATTGTATTCTTCCATTGAGCAAAGCCATTGACAAATGTAACAGTGATTCAACATGTGGTGGTTATGCATTCACAGATATGACATGGTGGCACGATGATTATGATAAAACAAATGAACCTGCTGCACAATTATTTGTTACATCAAACAAACCCAATCCTCGAGCAAGCGACTTCGGTCGATGGGCTATTTATAACAAGAAGTGTTGGAAATTTGCTACTAAAAGACAAATGATCCGTTGAAAATAGTTAAAGAACTTGAAGAAAACATTTTATTCATTTTTTTTCTTTTATTATTTTATTCACCAGTTTAGATAAAACACTTTTTGGTTTTTTTTCCTCGGTAGTTATAACATTTCAAAGATCGCGAGTTTTTTTTCATATTTTGTTCATTTGCATTATTTTTAAAAATTTAGTAATCATATTAATAAATAATCGAAACCATTCTTCGACATATTGCAAAAGATTAAAAATATTCTTTTTCTATACTCAGGTGTGAATATGATATTGTTGAAGAGGGAATTTGAACTATTTCAATGTGAGTTGCGAGTTTTGATGAAGTTTGATAATATCAATGGAGGAGAGAGAGAGAGAGAGATATTTTTTATCTTCGATAAAACTAGTCGTCAACCAACAATAATCATTCATATGAATAATATAGATGTTATTATTATCTTTTATCTATCAAGTAAAGATACGAAAGAAAAATATTGTGAATGTGTTATTTGTATTGGAGAAATATGAAAACGAAAAACAAAAATACACTGAAATTGTGAATAATACCATTTATTGATTGAATTGAATATTATCAACAAAATTCATAGTTTTTTTTATGCTTGATATAAGAAATGAGATTAGTTTATTGGAAGAATAATCTCGATAGAAAATATACATTTTACACCATTATTCTATTGAATTAATATTTATTTGTACTTTAAACATCAAATACAAATACGACCGATATTTTAATTATTATTATTATTCATATAATTTTGTATAAGATATATCCGATCACACACTCTCAGTTTGTCCGAAGAAAATAGAAGTACGAATTCTCTCCAGGCAATATTCTAAAATAATATTATCTATTCATTATTATCTTCCTGTAGAGAATGCAAATAAGCAGTGTACTATGTGAATGATATTTTTGATTACGATCACATTCACCAACAACAAGAAACGGCAGTTGCAGATTGAGAATTTTATGCAGTGAATAGAAACATAAGAAAAATATTTCATTGATTGATTCCACCATCCGTCTAATATATTCCATTTGATAAGGTGAATAGTGTTATTTGTACAGGAGAATATGAGCCATTATAAATACAGTATTTCATGTTAATTCTAGTAAAAGTAATACTAGTTGAAATACAGAACAAGAGTTGATATATCATCATACGGAAATGTTGAATTTTCTCTTTATCCATCAATTAATTGTTGAACTCTTTTCATTTACGTTTGTCGACTGATCTGTTTTATACTGTAGAGTCGGAAATTCACTGTTGGAAGTTATAATTGTTGTATGTTAGCCAGAGATATTGTTTTGGTTGTTGAATATCTGCAGCTGTGACTTTAAACAGCTGAGTAGGCTCTGATAAGAACAAAAAGCAACGAGTAGGCAAATGTCGACTGAATCTCTTAAATTGTCTTACGACACTCGAAAAGATGAAAAATAAATTTACGGTAGTTTGATTTAAAAAAATAAGAAATAAAATACTTCTCCAAAGTTTTTATAGCATAAAAGAGAAGAAAAGATGTTTTTTTTCGTACAGATTATCATATATTGAGAGAGAGAGAGAAATCAGCCATAGAGTATTACTTCTTAGGGCGTCTGTACATAAAAAACGAATTATCTCATTCTATCTATTTTTCAATCTTGTGCAATACGAAATGACGTCATCTTGTTTAGTTTTAGTCAAAGAGAGTAATCACAAAAACAATGTGTTGCGTTGAAAGCAAACTATTGTGCATGTAATCTATCATTCTGAAGGTGTAGGTGTAGATGATGATGAAGTAAGTATCCACTCCCACACCCACCCTTATTTAAAAGAAGTATTGTAGAAAAATATCATAAATTATAATATTAACTGTATTTCTCGTTTCGTTTTCTTTCATCTAAAGAACAGATTCAAAATATTCATCTTATCAGTGTTAGTCCACTAATATTTCAGCTAATCTATTTTTATTCAATAACTTTTTCTTGTTCCTAATAAATTCTACACGTAATGAATACGCATACCAGTAATTATAGTGAATGTTAAAAAAGAACAATTTCTCTTACAATACACAAAACGATCGATATGCGCATAATTCCATACATCATTTTCAGTAAAAGTTTTTAAAAGAATAAAAACGAAATAATGCAATTTATTGATCATGTACTAAGAGATAAAACTCAATATTCTTGTTTATTTATCGAGATATCTCGTTTTAACAAAATGATGTTAAAATAAACAAAGAAAAAAAAACAAAATCTATGACATAAATACAAGAATTAAGAAAGAATGTCTACAGCTTGATGTTCAACTAATGTTGACATATGTTTAACATCATTTGTCCATTGATCTAATCGTTTTTTTAAAGTTGCAACTTGTCTTAAATCTAAAACACGTGGTTTAACCCAATGCATATTTAATTTTTCATCGACTTGATCAATACTTCCACGTATTAAACCTAATGATAAAGCTTGCATTGCTAATAGTTCAATTTGTTCAATCGGTAATTTTGTTCTTTTAGAAACATCATTAAAACTTAATGCACGTGCACCACCAGCAGCAAATATCATATCCATAAGACAAAGTAAAGTTATTTTTCTTTTTAATATTATTTCTGCCATACGTAAATCTGGTTGAATTTGAAAAACAGATTTTAATGATTCATATTTTTCAACATCACCAATATTAAATGCTTGTAATAAATCAATTAACCATTGTTCGCGTGTATTTTTAATTGCATCAAGTACAGGATGTTGAAGAATTTCACCAAAATTATAAACATTTTCAGCTAATAATGCAGCTAAACCAAGATTAAATGCACGTTCAGCTTTTTCTTTTAATCCCATTGATGAATTATCGATACAACCTTTAATAGAATAGAAGAAACAAAAATCTTTAGAAATTGTAATCCGGCTTGCCAAACCTCCTGATTTCTCCTGATGTTTAGTGATACTTTGAATCAATAAGAAAGTTAAAAGGAAAAAACGAGAACTATTGCAGTACTCAATAATTATAGTAACGAATATGAAAATATTTGCTTTTATTTTATTTTTCTCGAAAAAAATCATCAATTGTAGGAGCTAGCTGTACACAAAGTATTTATTTTACTGAAGACAGCAGAAAAATGCATGTTATTGTCTGGAAAACAAGATCTTGATATTCAGACAAGAGTCCGATGGGCAACATTTTAAATGACCAGTTAAGATGTCTCTCGTTTAGAAAGATTTTTTCATTTCTTGGAATTCACGTCTGATTCTTCTTAGCTCAGAATAGAACAATATCTTGAATAACTTAGCAAGATTCTTGCGTTTCATTTTTATTAGAGAACTGTTATAGGTTCATGGGCACTGCTAATTTTGTTGTCAAAGTCTGACACGAATTGTAAACATGAAAAGAATGAATAGGTATATACTACAATAGCAAAAAGTGAAGACATCAATGGTAAAGAAACAGAAGTGATAGCCATATCGATAAAATGTCCACGGAATAGATCATAAAAGGCTTAAGAGAAAAACAACTTCCATTGTCAAAAATTAGCTTATCTTGTTTTTTTACAGCATATTAATGCTATAGACCGCTCATTGCAAAAACAAGCGAAGAAACACGTACAATCGATTCATATTGTGATATAAGAGATAAAGAATGCTTGTCTTTTTTTCAAACTCTGTCAAGAATCTTTCTATCGTTCTATTCATTTGTATAAATACTTTTGCTTAAACTTTACAATGAAAAAGAATTTTGGCTGACAGATTAAAATGAAAATTAATCTGGAAATAATACAGATAAGAATATTAACTGATTAAGTGTACATAATAAATATAACTAAAAGAATGCTTTTCATGATCATTCTGTATAGCAAAAAAATATTATTTGTGATAAAATTCAAGTGAAAATAATATCATGTGTATTAAATTATTGATCACCAACTTGATACGAAGGAGATAAATATTTTTTGTTAGCGAACGTTCGAATTTTTTACGAGAAAACCGTCTAATATTTTCTCAACTTAAAATAGAAAACCTCGTAATTTTCCTACTGATTTAGAAAAAAACTTCTGGAAAACTCCTGCTTTTTTTTTGAAACTCCTGTTTTCTAAAATTTTGATTTGGCAACCCTGCCCTGAGTCCTCATAACATATCGACCGGTCATAAATTGAGCAATCAGAATTCGAGGAGTCTAGAATTTATCAATAATGCGAAGTGCTTTAGGAGAGTTTTGTCAAACATTACGCTAGGTTCTTCTGGAGATTTGAACTCCCGGCATCGAAATACGTCTAGAAATGTTTTTTTTCCAAAAAATTAGCTGTCGATGTTTTTTTGACTTTCGACCCCTCTTTACTCCCCCCTCCACATGGTCACTCAAGGGTACCTCTGATGATAATACTTCAGCACCAATGGGTGCCCCTCCATGGTAGTACAGGAATATACATGCTTCGGTGTTCATTGAAAGGAGTTGATGATAGAGTTCAGTTTGTTCAAATGAACTGTTTGTTCATCTCGGTTCGTATGAAGTGAACTAGTCGAAAAGTTCAGTTCGTTGAGATGAACTTTGTATACAGTTTAGTTGATGGGAGCTGAACGGTTTGAGTAGGTTCAGTTCATTCAAATGAACTGTTTCACTAGGTTCAGTTCGTTCAACTGAGCTATGTGATCGGTTCTTTAGTTCATTTGAACGGGGTTCATGAACTGAATTGTGTGTACCCCTATTTCAGAATACCAGACTATGTTGTCTTATATATCTTCTAGAAAGCAGACTTCTCCATGCTTAATTTATTAAGTATAAATGTGAGCCTTTCCATTCGCTCATGAATCCTGTTGACTTCAATTTTGCAGCTTTTTACTTGTTTTTAAATGCACTTGTTTAACTAAAACAAACCTCTCTTCAGGTATTCCATGTTCATTCATAAAATCGGATGAATATTAAAAACATATCTTGTGGATTAGAATCGAATAATAACGTGCTTTATGTATATCACATAAGTCCTTCTCTTGTACATGATCAGACAACAATTGTATAAACTCGTTTTGAGAATCTTTACTTGTATAAGTAACCTAAAAGGAACGTTTTTCCGTTATACTGAGTTCCATGGTTCCCGATTACTTTTGAAAGTGAGGGGGAGGGCTAAATTTTGCCAGAAAGATTTTCTGGCAGACTTGTTAGTAGTAAACCTATGCTTTTATTTCAAATGATAATATCCAAGTTAAGCTTTATTTCAAAAAACGAACTATAAATGACTATATCAACGAAAATGTGTTAACTCCCCCCCCTATAATAGAAGCCCATCGCATATTAGAAGCCCCCTTGAGATGAACAACGTGTTTTACGTATTAGAAGCCTTCTAATATTTCCAAAAACTTTTTTAAATTTTTCATAATTTTTTCGAATTTCCCTGCTAAAGTTGCTAAAATTTCTCGATTTTAAGGTGAAATTTCGACTAACTCCTATCTAACTGTGCTTAAATATGAAAAAATTGCAAAAAAACTTCTGAAAAACTCATGAAAATCTCTAGAAACCTGCCGAAGCGATTTCCTTATTATGGTCTATGAAAAATGTTTGGCACTTATTAGAAGCCCCCTCCAAAAACTATAAACGGTAGAAAAATTAAAAGCCCCCTGGGCTTTTAATATGGGGGGGGGGGGGAGTTTATGCTATATAGATGAATTCAGAATATCCATGAGGTGATATTAATCTACTGCCAGAAATAGTGAACAGAAATCATAAACTTTCTGGCAGAAACTGTGAAGAAAAGATGTAGATTTTCTCATAAGCATGTGACTTAATTAGAAGTCGACATAAATAGCGTTATTTTACGGAAAAATCGTATAATGTCATCCATTTATATTATTATCGAAAATTATAAAATTGTCAAAGGTATAAGAAAAAATTTGGCAAAAACAACTTTTGTTTTGGGGGGGGGGGGCTAGACCCCCCAGCCCTCCCCCCCCCTCTAATCGGAGACCATGCTGAGTTCCAATACTGAATTATGCTTTGATAATAAATAGATCAGTTAATGAAAGTTACCTTCGCCATCATCATTAGATTTTTTTTCTTGAATTTATTGTTGATGCTGCAGGCTTTTATCTAATATATGATTTATATTACTTTCCGTTGTTTAAAAATTTTATAAAGTTGGAATGAAGATTGATGAGAAATACTTGAATTATGAACATATATTTTTCGTTTTTTTTCGGCTCCTTAACTAGCTAAACACAAGAACTGGATTACAAAGTCAAATAACTAGTTGTAGTATAAGTTCAAGTGAAGAACCTTTCATTTTATTTCATGTTTTGACCCCAATAGAAACCCAAGTATTTTCTGGTTGATCATCATCAGAACCAGGACGAAAAAGACGCCAACAAAAACAATACGCTGAATCAGTTAATGAACTTTATTCAATTAAAAAGATGTCTACGATATACTATTTACAGTCAGAATCATATTATCACGAAATTTATCAGATGCTATCTGCACTTTTTTTTATTGTAGTTACTTGAACGAGTAGGCTTTTATTGATTGATTGATTGATAAATGAAATTGAAAACTTGCTCGGTATTGTTTTATTTATGTACCTATGTCTAGTTAAATAAAGTTTTATTGAATAAATCAAATATTTATTTTAATATTTTAATAGATAAATAGTACTTTTTATCAAAATAGTTATAATGAACATTTAATCATATCTATTAAATATTACAAGAGCGCTGTTAGAATTGAAAAAAGAGTAAGTATTATTCATGATTACAGCAATAAAATAGATGAAAGTATCCCACATAAATACATTGTTTATGAATGATTACTAATGGCATGTATTGTTAATTTTTCTTAATGATTCATTGATTGAGGGTAAGGATGGGTGTGGGCAAGAGACAAATAAAATATTCACACACGTTTTTGAGGGTGTACGTGTGCGTATGATCTTTATTTTACAGTAACAACTACACTTTTCAATAAATTACTTGGAAAAAATTCAGATTTTGACTTCAAAGTCATTTAAAATGACTTTACATTTAAATAGGAGTCCTTGAAAAGTACTAAAATATTTGCAATTGGACAAAATAAAAAGTGTACTGAAACCATAAGCAACTGCATAACAAAAACGAAAGTATGAGAGGGAGCTTTACAAGTTACATTCCATCTCATTATAGGATTGTTTCTCTGTAATATTATAGTACGCAAAAAGTCAAATATCTGTAAAAAGAAATCATTTCGTAATATTTTTCCAGAAAACAAAAGTTTTTCTAATTGAATATTGTAAATTAAGGTCATGTGAAAAACGAAAAACGTCGTAAAAACCATTGATGATTGGATCTACTTGTCTAGACAATTTCAAGTGTACAACATTCACCAGTGTTTAAAAACATGTCTGTAGAATTACATTGATTGTGAACAGCGAATATACCATTTTGACGGTCTGATCATGTGTTACTGTAGGTTCGTTTCTCACAGCCACCCCGCACCAAATAAGACGCAATCGGAGTTCTTATAATAAACTTTGAATACTCTTTCAAAGAAATCCGAACATATTTCGGTTTGTTGAGTCACAAGCTATATTCATCCTTTATTATTGTAATGTGATACACCAAAAAATATAGGATTTGAGTCACTAAACATCACTTTGATACAATACAACAAAGAAAGCCAAATGTGAGTTCTGAAGAAGAACAACGCAAAATACAAAATAAGCAACGAGAACGAACATAAATCCAAAAAGAGTTAAACAGTATAGATACGATTAAAACGATACTAGACGAATAACGAATAAAGCTGATAATGAAATGAGCATTATCTAGAAGGTGTTAGATTTCAAATCCTAGTGAGAGGATAGAGCTCCTTGTGTAAAAAATAT